GTTTTCGGCGTGAGACGCCGGTGAGTTACACAAGCTTGAAACTCGAGTTGGATTTTCTAGCCATGCCACTTAACTTTAGTTTTGTAGTTTGAATTTTAACCCTGGTATTTTCTTTGATCTCCTTAGGGTTTCCTAATGTTGTCTATAAGAAAAAGCTTTCTATAGTAAGAGAACTCAGAGCATGGATAGGTTACGATTTTAACAACGAAATTAAAGTTTTTGGAAAATACATGACATATAGTGAAAATTTTGAAAAGAGAGATATTTCGAAAAACAAGGTTGGTTAACAGTTTTAACTCTTGCAACCATAAAGCCCTCTAAGTAGGGCTAGACAGTACCTTATATACACCCGACCTTTTTGCATCATATAGGGCTAGACGGTACCTGCCTCGGCTCTTTTACGTCGTATGAGTTTGATGTTTTTCCATTGAATAGGATGGTTGTGCCCTGGATACACCCGACCTTTCACGTCATACTGGGATAGACGGTACCTGCCTCGGCTCTTTTATGTCACACGAGTTTGACATTTTTTCATTAGAACAGGGTGGTTGTGCCCTGGATACACCCATTCTTTCACGTCATACGGGGCTAGACGATACCTGTCTTGGCTCTTTTACGTCGTATGAGTTTGATGTTTTTCCATTGAACAGGGTGGTTGTGCCCTGCATACACCCGACCTTTCACATCATACGAGGCTGAACGGTCACTGTCTTGGCTCTCTTACGTTGCACGAGTTTGATGTTTTTTCATTGAATAGGGTGGTTGTGCCCTGGATACTCCCATCCTTTCATGTCATATGGGGTTGGACAGTCCCTGTCTCGGTTCTTTTATGTCGCACCAGTTTGATGCTTATCCTATCTTGGCTCTTTAACATCACACGAGTTTGACGTTTTTCCTGTCTTGGCTTTTTAACGTCGCACGAGTTTGACGTTTTTTTTTTTGTTTCTTATCTCGGCTCTTTTATGTCGAACGAGTTTGACGTTTATCCTATGTCGACTCTTTAGCCTTGCACAAGTTTGGCACTTATCCTATCTCGACTCTTTTACATCGTACGAGTTTGGCATTTATCATGTCTCGACTCTTTAATGTCGTACGAGTTTGACGCTTATCTTGTCTCGGCTCTTTTACGTCACACGAGTTTGACATTTCTCTTGTCTCTACTCTTTTATGTCGCACGAGTTTGACGTTTTCCAAATTGGACTTTGGGACATCGTACGCACACACGAGGATGAACTTGCCTCATTTTGCCTCAAGGGATCCGGTCGAAAGAAAAAGCTCCCAGACTAGCTAATATCGTCATTGGCGAGGTTCACCCATCTCCGATATGTAGTAGTTGGTAATTATACTCATACAACCATGGAGTGCCTGGCTAGTTTCAAGCCTTCATAACAGGCATAGGAAGTTGGCTTTTAGAATGAGGCCAGATCGACTAACAATTTAACCTCTTGTAGTGATGGAGCAAGGCATTTCTAAAAGAGTTTTGGAAATGGAGGGTTTTAAAAATCAGATTGAAAAATCGCTTTTAAAAGGGACGGGCCTCATTATTATATTCTACCCAAAGATGATGAAAGGATTTCCTTGTGGGATAGTGAGAACTCAAAAGTCTCGAAGTTGTCTTTTTACCTTTACAGCTTTCGTCATGTGCTTTGTGGGTCCATGACGAGTTCTCTGGATTCTTGCTGAACTTCCATCTTGGAGAGGTCCCCATGTTCTTTCAGGATTCGTCGAAGTCACTTCGGATTTCCATTCATATCATGCTCCCGCATCAATCTGAGTTGGTTTTGTTGGGAACTTGCAGGGTTTAGAAAGAGTCTTCGTCCTTAGGGTCTGCTTATGTCGTATTGTTGGAACTTGCAAGTACTTGTTTGTACGTGAGTGCTTTTGAATCAGAAGCTCCTTCTTGGAGGTTTATTTATTTATTTATTTTACCAGTGATGCCCTTTTATGCTTTCACCACGTCCTATTTTTTTTTTTTTTTGTGATGCCTTTTCAGGTTTTAAGCACTCTTTTGAGCCCGTTATGGGTAGTATTTTCTGAGATACATCGCATTGATGGGGTCATTGAGTTCGCACCCCTCTTGATTCTTGATCTTGTAAGAATTGCTTGTGTGCACTTGAGTGACCACGAATGGCCCCTCCCAATTAGGTTTGAACTTGCCTAAAGGGTGTGGGTTTGTAGGAGTGTGGACGATTTTCTTGAGTACCATGTCCCATTCCCTGAACTGTTGAGGAACAACTTTACTTTGGCATGCCCTCTCAATTCTATGCTGGTAAGCAACAATATTTTGTGTTGCTCATAGTCGTCTTTCATCCAAATTAACAAGGGCAGCGATTCATACTTCGATCTTTTATTCCACATCTGAATCTTTATGAATAAGCACTCGAAGAGACGATATCTCAACTTCAATGGGTACTTGTTGAGTGGCTAGTAATTGATAACCAGTCTGAGTATTCCTTGTTTTTGCTCAACTCTTTTGTTGACGTAAAATGCTTTACATACTTAGGAAGAATTGATTTCTTGTATAAGACCTTAGCTGGGATAGTTCTTGGACAGCAAGGTGGAAATGGTCTGGTTTCATACTTACATGACTGGCTTTTGTGGGGTTAATAATTCCATTTTTCTTAAAAGGTAGGGAGATGAAGAATTTTTGGTTTTTCTATAAGGGATGATTGTGTTTTTGGGCAAAATCTATATGAGATTCAGCACAAGAGATGATTATGATTCTAGATAGGATATTAGACAAAGTGTCAAAAAGAAAAAGATTTTGTGTTTTTGTCCAGGGTAGCAAATTATCTTTTTACTTGAGTCATTTTTGTGTCCGATCTAGAATGGGCATGAGTGTATGCAAGATATCATATCCTATAAACAAATCATTTCCTTGGAGATGAGAGCCTAAAACTCAGTTTTAATGCAGAAATCTAGAAAGAGTTTTATGGATATTGGATCACTTATTTTTATGGGAAAAATGAATACCCTTATACTTGCAATTGGAATTGATGGTAATAATCCTTAGATAGAGTATAAAGCCAAAAATGTTTCAATTTGGTTAGGAAATAAAAAATTTTATATTCCAAAAATTTTATGTTTTCCTTTTATGCATGGTGATTTTATTCTAGAAAATAATGTCCTTCAAAATCACTTGCAGGGTATCTCCTTGCAATGGAACTGACTAAGAAAAATGTCAGTGAAACTACATGAGTTTTTCATGATCTATAAACAATTGCTACAAGATATCATATCCTATAAACAGATCTTTTCCTGGAAGATGAGAGACTAAAACTCTAGTTGTAATGCAAAATTTGGGATGAGTTTTATGGTTATTGGATCACTTATTTTTATGGGAAGAGGATTTTTATGGGAAGAGTTTTATGGTTATTGGATCACTTATTTTTATGGGAAGAGTTTTATGGTTATTGTATCTCCTTGCAATGGAATTGACTATGAAAAGTGTCAGTGAAACTACATGAGCTTTTCATGATCAATAAATAATTGCTGCATATTTGAAATAAGATTGGTTCTTATTTCGATGTTTATCCAAAGCTCAGTTATATGCATATTGGTATAATCCTAATCGAAACAACGGTCTTATTTCGACAAGAAATAGATACCCTAATATTAGTTGTTGCCTTAGATAAGAGATTAATTATCTTATTAAACCAGTAATATGAGGATTATAATCTAATCTGGTTACTGGAAAAGTCTAGTTTAAAATAAAACGTTTTGAAAGTACAGTCGGTAACTTTTTAGTACTGAAAAAGTAGATTCCTTCACCACTTTTTGGACACAGGAGCTAGATAGGTCAGCAGTCGGTCCGTGAAGTTACTTGTTTGTTTAAGTTTTTCTTACTTGTTTAGTATGCTGGTGTGGTCCCACCACGCCTCTAGTCTTCCATCATGTTTTGAATAGAGGCTTCTCCAATACTGTCAAAATTGTAGTCGCTTCGATTGTCTTGTGCTTCCCAGTCATGATAGGCAAATATCTTCTGCTTCCATAACAAATTCGAGTGGCAGATATGACATTTCGGGTCTCTTACATCAGCCATAAACTCTTTTGCCTCTTTTCCTTGGCTAGTAGTAAGACAAAGACATGTTTGTAAAGATGTTACAAACAATCTTCTCCCATCACTTATTTTAAATGAATGATTATTTTTCAAAGAACAAAGTTCCTGACTGAATGAGACAATATTTTTTATGGCATATTTTTTGATATCCAATTCAAAAATTTCTTCTTCCGTTACAAAAGTTTCTTTTGCAAGAGTGAAATCACTGTTTGTGGTTTATTCTAAATGCCAAATTTGATACAATTGATAAAATCTTTCCTTAGATCTCCAACTAATTGTGCTTGTAATATGGAAAGTAAGATATTTCTTAAATTTCCATGACTTGGAGACTTTATAAAGTATATTTTTTATAAAATTTGAAAAATCTCTTATTCGCATCCAATCTAGATGCTCGAAGACCAATCTTCCTATAATTCCCCAATCAATGGTGTCAAAACACCATTCTTCATGGTCAAAGTAAATTACGGTTTTAATAATGTTTTTGAAGTCTTTATATAGTCCAGGATAATATTGTTTGAGTAAATTCGGGATTTTAAAAACTTGTTCAGAATCAACAATTTTAGAAATTTTTTTAAATACTTCAAACGGTAAAATAGTTTTTGCCTTTTCATATAAACATAGTTTTTTAATCTTTTCAAACATTGGCTCAGATTGACTATATATTAGATTAGCCACTCCTAAAACTTAATTAATTTTATCAAAAGAGAATTCCTCATTCCAGTCCATTTGTGTAAAGGACTCGAATATTTTTTCTTTTAATTTTGAAAACTCTTGACTCTGATTTGCTATCAAATCCGACAATTTTTTCATATGTTTTAGAAATTTTGAACTATTTTCGATAATATGGTTTTTCCATGCCTCGTTCAGCTTATCAAAGATTTCATTGGGTGTTATGGGATTTCGGCAAAAGTTGGAAACTTGTTTAGTTTTAACTGGAAGATATTGCAGAATATATTTTTGTATATCTACAATGTCGTTGTAAGAGATCGGTTCAAAATTATAGGATTGAGCAAATTGAGAATATATAGGGGTTTCTCTAATCTTCTCCATTCGCATGTATCCCAAGTTGATTTATTTCCCTTGATTAGGGAAATCCTCTTTTTTTCTCCTTGCTTACGAGTGACCTCTTGCCATTGTTCATTTGATCAATATGTATTCCTGCTGAGACAATCTGCAAGAACATTATTAGTACATTTGACAAATTCAAACTGAAAATTATAATTGAGAATTTGATTGGATCATCGAGTTCTTCTGGGATTAACTTCCCCTTTTTTATTTGCAATAACATATTTTACTGCTTTTTATCTGTTATGATAATAAATTCCTCTTATGCCAAATAAATATAAAATCTTTTTAATCATTTTAAGACTGTCAGAAGTTCTTTCATGTGCATTACAGTTTTTTTCATATGGTGTGAATTTTCCTGAATTATAACTAGAAATGAATTATTCTTTATTTACCACCGCTTTCAAAATGTGCCCCAATTTTCATTTGAAGCATCAGTTTCAAGAGTACGTTTATCCCCTTCTTTATGAAAGTAAACAGTTTGTACTTTATCTAGATATGCCTTAATTTTTTTGACCGTTTCTGAGTCTTTATTATCGCAAGTGAATTTTTTTATCCTTTTTAAATTTTTTAAATAAAGGTTTTTTTTTTTAAAAAAAAAGAGATTTATATTATTCTATAATTGAGAATTCCTAAGAAACTTTGCATATGTTTTTTATCTACAAGTTTATCAGGGAAATTTTTAACTTTTACAATAATATGTTCTTTTAATCTTATTCCTCGTTGGTCTAAGATTATACCTAAAAATTTAATTGATGTTTTTTCTACTTCAATCTTTTTAAGACTTAGGATAATTCCATTGTCTAGGAATTTATTGCATACTATTATTTTTAGATGTTTTTTATGATCTTCTAATGTTTTCAAAAATATCAAAACATCATCAATGTATACTACAAAAAAATCTTTTAGGTACTGAAAAGATTTTGTTCATCAATCTCTGGAATATCTGAGGAGCATTACATAATCCAAAGGCATTACTTTCCATTGGTAATGGTTTTAGGGTACACTAAAAGTTGTCAATGGTTTGACTCGTCTGTTAGCATTATTTGCCTAAAACTTGATTTACAATCAAATTTACTTTAATATTCTGAGTTATGTTTGATGGATTAGAACATCTTTTCTAAGTATAAAATATTCGTCAAACTCCAGATTCTGATTTAGTCTTTATTATGGTTTCTTACCATAAATGCAGGACTCGTATGTGGACTTGTAGTTGGTTTTATAAATCTTTTTTCTAAGAGCTCATAGATTTGGATAGAAAATTTGTCTATATCCTTTTTGGTATATAGACTATAGGCTTAACTTTAATAATCTGGCTTGGGTAACATAGTTTTAAGTTATAGCATCTTGGGAATTTTTATCACAGTTTTAGTGGGTTATCACTAAAATTTGGTGCAAGGGTTATCACAGTTTTAGTGGGTTTCATTGATTTTTTTTATAGAATCACCATGCTTTTGTGGTGAAAATTCTATTTGACAACGATACTTATGTTCTACAATGATAGAAATTCATACAATTTCTCCTTTTTTAATAATAACCAATTTATCATTATGGATTTCTATTGGATAGTAATTTTGAAGGAAATTATTTCCTAGAATAATATCACCATGCATAAAAGGAAAACATAAACTATTTGGAATAAGAAATTTTTCATTTCCAAACCAAACTTAAACATTTTTGGCTTTATACTTTTTCTGAGTATTATTACCATCAATTCCAGTTGCATGTATAGGGGTATTCATTTTTTCCTATTTTTCTAATGGAATAGCAGCTGGACTACATGCACAAGTTGTTGCTCCGGTGTCTACCATAATATCTAGATGATATGGTTTATATCCTGAAAACTTAAATTCCTCTAAAATAAATAAATATCTTTTTCAATTTTGGTTATGGGAAAAAATAATTTCTTCATCTTTCCTGATTTGTATTCTAAAAAAGTTAAAGAGTGCTAAATTTCCTCTTGTTGTTCATCATTTTCTTCTGTCAGATTTTCTAAAGCCTAATGGGTTTTGTGATCATTAGAGAGTTTTGCTTTCAATCGATTGGAATTTAAATAGTTTATATATTTCTTCTTTTTTTAGAACCTTTAATTTTTCTAATTTAGATTCATCAATGGTGAATTCTTCATGAATTACATCTTTAAGTTTAATAACTTGCTATATTTCACCATTAGAGTCTTCAAATGGTTTTTTTTCATTCATCATGAAGACTATTTCTGAATCTGAATCACTGTCTTCTTATTCAATTTCTATTTAAAATATGATTGATTTGTTATCAGAGATTTCTTCTCTGAAATAAATGTCAAGATTATTTTCTTCAAAGAGTTTCATCTTTTTTTGGTATTTTTTCCTTTTTGATAACAATTAGGGGCTATATGTCCTTCTTCATTGTATATATAGCAACGACAACCTTTTTTAGGATTATTGCCTTTTCTCTTAACAACATATCGTTTTTTACGATTAAACTGTTTTCTTTTATTCCATATTCTCCATTTTTAATTTTTCTTTTTGAAAAAATTCTTTTGGAATTTCTTTTCGCACCAAATTCTAAATTATTTTAAGAATTGGGTTACAGTCGTTCAACCCCAAGTCCTTTTTTGACTTGTTTTGACGTTTTTAGATTTAAAAAATGTTTTTCGATATTTTTAAAAACAAATCTTATTCTATTTTTGAGAGTATCCTTTGATGTAGTTGCACTGATATATTTTTTATAGTCAGTTCCATAAATTTCTTCCCAAGGAATTGGTAATTTATGGAAATTTTGTTTTTTCCAAAAATCAGTTTTAACATCGTCTAACATTTGATACCACTTTTGGTACTCTTTGGCAAAAGACTCGAATTTTTGAATTTTGCAGAGTTTTAATTTTGACAATGTATAGTCTGCATCAGTTTGCAAGCTATACTCATCGACATGTCCACAAAATTCCTCTTTTAGGACTTTTGTAAAATCTTTTAAGATATCTTCAATATGTTTATCTTTATCTGAGAATAATGTAGCTTTTTCTACCTATCATTCGGTTGAATTCTCTCATTTTCTAAAAAATGGCAAGGCGTCTCCTTGCAATGTTCGGGCCAAATAGTCCTAAGAACTTTGCTTTAGACCAAATGACTTTATAATTAGCTATAACCAAGGTCATTGATTGAGCCTAATCGTTAATAACCTGATTATATTCTCCAAATGGTACATTCTTTAAAACAAGATACGTACAATTGATTGTTACATTTAGTTTATTTAAATCATCCCTTCTAATGTTAACATCTGAGATAGGATTCGAAAATGAAGGAGAAGCATTTTCTTCTTCATTTTGAAGAAAATCTTCTTACTTAATATTTTGAAGATATTCATCAAATTCTTTAGGTGTCCAGAATTTTGTTTCTAGATCTGATTTAAAAGGATTTGATTCTTTTTTTTTTTTCCCTTTATTTCAGAGACAAGGGTTTCAATCCCTTTTTTCGATTCTGATTCTTTATCAGAATCTGATTTTACTTCACTTATGGCAATTTCTTCGTCACTATCATCAAGGCTGATGATAAGATGATAATTATTCTTTATCATGAGTTTTTCATGATCAGAAAATAATTGCCGCATATTTGAAATTAGATTGGTTCTTACTTCTATGTCTTTTTCTTTTATATATCTAGACTTCCAATATTCAATAATTTTCTTGATTGCTTCAAAGTTTTTTGAGTCTTTATCTAAGGCTATTATTTCAGTTCCATAAAATAAGGTTCATATGGATTTTTTGGAATCAGATATTTTATCTTGTAGTGAGGAATTCACATTTGATAAAAGCATCTTTGACTCTTGATTTAGATCAATATTTTTTATTGTTCCTAGGTTTTCTAATTTTTTTCTATTTTTGTTAATTTGCTACTCATTTGATTATGATTATCTATTTGATTTTTACTATTTATTCAAAACCTACTAACATTTTTAATGTATTTTTATGAAGATGTTTCTATGTGATAATTATGTTCATAATTACTTTCTTCCAACTTTATATCTTTAGATAAACAAGTTACTTTAGCCATTTAAGGTTTCTTTCTGGTAACTAAGACCTCCTATGAAATTATTTCCCTTCCTTGTCCTGGCCTAACTTGCTCTATTGGCTAAAAATGGCCTGGGCTACAATGTATTGTTCACAGGTATATGGGTTTTAAAAGAAACTTTAAATAATGCTGAATAACAAGCAAATAAAGAGCTTAAAATGAGAAGAAAATTACTTACAAGGTATAATTCTCATGATGGACTTTTATTATCTAACACGTAGCAGCTCTGATATCAATTACAGTAAAACCCATTTCTTTTATTATCGAATACATAACAACTCAATTGACGCTCTAAGTGCGAAAAGAAATTCCAAAAGACTTTCAGATTCAGAAATAGTCTTCATGATGAATGAGAAAAATCTATCTAAAGACTCTAATGATAAAGAGCAACAAGTTGTTGAACAAGGAGATGTAATTCATGAAGAATTCACTATTGATGAATCTAAATTAGAAAAATTAAAGGTTCTCAAAAAAGAAGAAATATATAAACAGTCTAAATTTCAATTATGGAATGCAAGACATTTCGAACACTATAGTGGTAATACATCTGCTAAAGCCTCAAAAAATGGTTTTGTTGAAATAGTTAGTTTTTGCAAACCTAAAGTTGCAACGATGATAAAACAATATCTAAAGCTCAGAGATATGCATATTGCTATAATCCTAATTGAAATAACTGCCTTATTTCGACAAGCAATAAATACCCCAATATTAGTTGTTGCATTGGATGAGAGATTTAATGATCCTATTAAAGCAATAATATGAGGATTACAATCTAAGCTGGTTACTGGAGAAGTCTGGCTTAAAATAAGACTTAACTAATTTTATTTCAGTACGAGATAAAAATATCCAAGACACAGTTAAGATCGTCAGTCAAACAAAAAATGTTCCAATGAAAGAAGATAGATTTGATCTTACAATTGAATAGAAAGCAATCCATGAATTGACAATGACTACAAAAACATCTATAAAAGATATAGACAATTGATTTGTAGAAGTGTTCGAACTGCATAATTTTGACACAGAAATACAATTCAAAATAAATCAATTGGCGAGATCT